GTGAATTGAGATGGACTGTTTTTCGGAAGCATAACATGAACAAGATCAGCTTAATGAATTAACAAGGCCTTCATTACATTCTTCAAACCCAAAAGAGGTGCACCCGCATTACGTCTTGTTCTCCTGGACGTGAACCACGATTTTCCCTGCTGCTGACCCAACTTTGAGCTTCTCAAAAGCCTCGTAGACCTGCTCAAACCCAAAAGCCGAGTCCACCACCGTCTTCACTTTACCTTCACCCATCCACGTCGCCAGCTGCGCGAGGTCCTCGTGCGAGTTCTTCGTCATGAACGCCTCGAACTTGTGGCTCACACCTCCCAAGAACTTGGGCAGTAACAGTCCCGAGGCAAGGTGGGTCGCCATCTGGAAGGAAAAGTGGCCGCCAACAAACTTGTAGTGTCCGCTTGGCAGCAGGATCGCGTCCGAGGCGCTAAAGAGGTCGGGCGGCGAGTCGCCAACATTGTCAACGATGACAGAGAAGACGGGGCCGATCTCCCGCAACTTGGCCGTCACATTTGTCGTCTTGTAGTCAATGATCTCATCGGCGCCGAGCTCCTTACACAAAGCAGCTTTGGATGTCGAACAAGACACGGTGACGTGGCAGCCGATGGCCTTGGCGATCTGGATACCATATGTGCCAGTGCCTCCGGAACCACCGTTGATGAAGACCTTATCGCCGGCCTTTGCGTACGGCGCGATGGTCTGGTAAGCTGTCAGGGCCGCAGTGCCGGCGGCGCCGGCCTGGTCGAGCGATACATTCTTTGGCAACGTGGCAACTCCGTCGTAGGGACTGACCCACATATTCCGAGAGCGAGCCGGCCCACTTGAGAGGACCCATGCGACCGAGGACGTTATCGCCCACCTTGATGTCCGGCACACCCTCGCCGACGGCGACGACCTGACCAGCAAAATCCATGCCGGGGCAGATTGGGTACGAGAGCTTGGCCTTGGATAAGATGCCGAGCTCGGGGAGCTTGTAATCAGCCGGGTTGATGCCGGCCACGATAACCTTGACGAGAATGTGTTCCTTTTCGAGGGTCTCTGATGGACGTGGTACCGTCACCAGTTTCATGTTGGCGATTGGCCCAGGGGCGTCAATCTGATAGACGCGCATCTGAGGAGTGTCTTGGGTAGCCATTTTGCAGCGAGTTGATGTGTTGAGATTGGTGATGTGAACGAACTGACCGAAGAATGCCCTGGAGGTAGGATGGCTCTGTAGATATCAATGAGGGTTCAGGGAACTCCAGAGTCGTCCAAGGTAGCTTGAGGATGCGATGATATCACTTTTTGAAATAAAGTTTCTACCCCGATGGGGGGCCCGGCGAAGCTTCCCACGGAATGCGTACTTATTGGCACGAACTCTCCCAATTCCATCCACGTCATGGGCCTAGTATGCCGATTCCGGGGCTGCACTAAGCTGCTTTCTGCCATCGGGGGACGGAATCGATCAAGACACGGCCACACCCACATACCAGCAGTATGGCTCCCTTCTTCTGTCGGAAGACGATTCTGGTCAGGCCGTATCTACCGCTGCGCACGGTGATAAGAGTAGCGCAATCGAATGTTTTCAGCATCCTCTGGTCTTCCGAATGTTGCCATGTGCCAGTATTGGTGCTGTGTCGAGCCCAGACTGAGCGACAAACTACAAAGACCGCCCTTGAGGAACGTCGCACGCGCCTGACTCGTAATTCATGAGTGGGTGGGTGTGGGCCATTTTCCTCTGCTGCACTAGTTAAAAATCATGAGTGTTCAAAGGTTGTACATGGCGAGTTGTAGGAGACATATATTGATAGATTAAAAAGCACATCGTCATGCTTTTGGAAGACGTTGTTATAGGGTTAAGTCCCGATCTGACATGCATGAACGTCAAGTCCCCTGTATTGCTGATGCGGGAAGCCGCCAAGTGCTGACGCTGGCAGCTTGGCATTCCCGTACATCTTGTCACGGTGCGCATCACAAATAAGTAGAGACTAGACAGGAACCAAATCTTTTGTCTCAAATTATACGGGTGTATGCTTCATGTTAAGCGACTCTGGATTATGGTATTTCAAGCTTCATACATAATTTCAGCTGCTTACATACTACCAAGTCTCGTGACATTCTAGGTTTAGCGTCCTGTGACAACGAGTTTGTACTTCTGTGACAACACTGAAAGGGCGCATGAACAAGGGTCGTCAAGTGGAAGTGCTCATTCTTTTTCCACTTTGAGACAGCTTACGTCGGATCTGGGAGCTTCAAACCTAAAGTCTTTGCCTATACTCGCTCATGATTGACGGAGTCGATTTTCGGCTTCTCGAGCTCTTCGCCGATGGCTGCCGAGCCATGGTGGTCTCGCTCGAGTAGTGCCGTAAGACCAATGTCACGATTAATCTCCGCCATACGCTCAAAGTCCGCTTGTGCGGTTCCCTCAGAGCCGAAGACCAGATCCTAGTGGGAGTCAGCGCTGAAGGCATGAAGTAGCGGCAGGGGTTCTCAAAGTATACCATTTCCTCCAGCGAAAGCCGCTTGGTCTCCGGAACGAAGAACCAGACGAATGCTGCGCCAGTATATATGAGAAGGCCGAATATGATGTAAGTACCGTATGTGATGCCAACGAGCATGTCTGGGGTGACCTGGCCGACACTGCAGACGGTGTTGTCAGTATCTAGACGTGCCATTTTACCGTACCTATAGGTCTCTGTCATATGAAATGGCTTACATGAAGTTATTCCTAAAAGTCCCCGTTAGCCCAACACCATCAATTGTGGCCATTTCAACAATGCGGTCGTTGACTCACATCCAGTTACTGGAAGCTCCCAACGACACACCGTAAGGACGAGTGCTCAGCGGCCAGATTTCAGCAACAATGATCCAAGCACAGGGTCCCCAAGAATCTGGATAGCCCATTGGGTCAGCAACACGGTTGAGCCCTGATGTCTCACTGGAGGGAGTCTCACAGCCGAAGTGGATCACGAACAGCCACACCATGCACACAGCAGCCCAGCCCGCCGCCGGGGCGTTATGGAAATTGTCGATGTTCTTGGCCAGGATTATCGCAATGATGATGTGGCAAGTACCCATACCGATAGCCCCAACGGTCAGGACCGGCTTCCGGCCCACTCGGTCAATCCACAAGACTGCCGGGATTGTAGCTATGAACATGGCGACACCGACGACACCGGTTGCTAGTAAGCTTGTCGTGTTCTCACTAAGGCCGAGCTGTTCGAAAATCTGAGGAGCGTAGTAAAGCACCTAGAGCCGCACCATCAGTCTCGACTCGATGAAGAAATGGCTGGCAAGGCTGGATCGGCTCACAGCATTGATTCCAGACCACTGCTGGAACAGCATGACGAGGCAAGCAACTATGACACGTTTGAACATTGCTCTGGAAGTGAACAAACTCTTGATGGAGACAAATTGCAGTTTGAAAATGTTCCACGCCGTTTGTTCTTGCAGGTGAGGAAAGTGCTCGGCGATGCTTCGCTTTTCAAACAAGGACTGTGCCTTGATTTCAAGGAACTCGAGTTGAATGAGTTCATGATCGTGAGGTAAGTCTCGGAGGTTGGCAAGGACGTCTCGGGCCTCGTCTTCACGATCATGGTGGATCAGCCACCTTGGCGAGAAAGGCATCCACATCATTCCAACAAAGAGCACAATGGCTGGTCCGAGCTGGAGACAGATTGGAACTAACCACGCAGCGTCTGACTGAGTCTCCTCTTCTGTTCCTCCAATGTAATTGCACCCGCTGTGGCTCTGTGTTAGTTGACTTCATCGTGTTGCGAGTGTCTTTCTGAGGGCAACCTACTAATCGATCCAGAAACTGATCATGATTCCAAATGTGATAGCGAGCTGCTGCAAGGCAACAAGAGCTCCACGGACCTCACTGTCTCATAACGATGATGATTAAATGACCTGGTTCGTTGTGAGAAGCGGGGGAAATAAGCTTACGGAGGTGCGCACTCTGAATTGTACAGCGGCACAATCATTGAAAGACTTCCCACGCCCATACCCCTGCATCATGTTAGCAACAGAAGAAAAGACTCAGTCATTTGAGTACTTGCGTGATAAACCGACCTGCCAGGATTGATTCGTGGCCGCCAGTAATTGAAGTGATCTGGATGATGACTCCGAGCATGAAGACCGCGGTCGCAACCAGAACACCATACTTTCGCGAGAAGACTTCGGCCACAAAACCAGAAAGCAGGGTGCCGAACCAAGCCCCGAGTTCCAGAATTGCAGTCAACCAGCCTTTGAGAGTAGGATTATCGATGTAGCCATCCATATCTATACAGAAATACCAAGAATCAGTCGACAACGTCCATTCTACTTATGAGACAGTGGGCAACATACGTTTCCCAAAAGATGGCATGGCCAAGATTCCCGAGAACATGCCCTGATTATAGCCGTAAAGAACTCCTCCGATGCACGCGAAAGCTGCAATGCGGGCCACCTTGAAGTTCTTGACGAGAGCTCTGGCGCCGCTGGCTCCCATGAGCGCCTGTCGCCGCTCCAACGCTGCATCGTACGCGGCATTGCCGCCGAGAGCACCGCCCATCGTAGAATTTGCGTATGAACCGGGGTTTCTAGTGAAATGGCGATGGCCAGGGGCTTTTGACTGTTAAATGAACAAAGATGAGTCACAGGTGAAACGAGATTCTAGTTCTGCGCTCACTTCAGACAGCGTGAGCTGGATGTAAGCTTCTTCTTATAACAGACGTTAGCTTTGTGCCGGCTGTTGATCGGCGCACCTGTAGACATCAGGAGATGAGCAATACATGCGCCCGGGTGTAAGCCGGGATCGGTCCGTCGTGTCCAGTTAGGTTGTGGGGTTTTAAGTGCGGGCAGCGGAGGAGGTACCGGAACACGCTGCGCACCCGACGTGAGCGGTAGAAAAGTAATACATGGAACCGATCCCCGATACCTTTTTAGCTTTCCTCCCTAAAAGTTCTCTATGCCCAAATGTTCCGCTCCTAAGAATACAGTGGGTGGCTATCCAGGGTGAATCCATCACCATTTCAGGACAGACTTCTTCATTGTTCTAAATGGATCAAATATTGACCTGATGAGTTCCTAACTAAGTATCAGGTACTTTGCGTAAGACATAGCACACAGTCCTCTCTGAATGGCATTAGTAACGAACACCTCGATCCAATCCATCCTGTATCTCTAGTCTTCTGACCATCCACATCACTGCATACGAGAGGTAATGACACGTCGGTGTCCGCATAGACTGAGTGAGCTCCGCCATGCCTGACTACCTGCCTATGCTCGTGCGACATCATCGGCAAAATGAGAGGCTCGGCATGAGGTCGTGCAGATCAATGCTACGAAAGGCGCCCGACGCTCATTCAAGCACGATAGGATTTAGCCGGAGGGGGAAATGTGCCGGACCCCACGAATTCTTCGGGATATGCAGTCAAGTGGAAACAGCCCTACCTGACACTTTTGGGCGTTGGGGTTGGTGTGGTTTGCACAGACACTTTTGGCAGAGCACATCGGCTTACATGGTACTTGAATGCCGATGTCCCTTTTCCGATAAAGCACGGGACACAGAAAAGGCGGGGATTCGTGCGCTTATGCTATTGGAGTCTGGGATTAGAGAATGTAAGCCGGGACACGACCATCAGTAGACGGAGAGTCGGTGGAGAGGTTATCATTGGGATTTGGTGAAGCATGTGCATTGCCGTCGGAACATCCGAGCAGTGGCTGGCCATATATGGCTGGATTTTAGGAACTATTTGATAAATTGTTGGTTGTAGCTACGCACATGACTTTCATTCGGATTTGTTGCATCGATTGACTCTTGGCAAGCACAACAACGCACATTCTAATCGGTCACTTGCTTCAGGCTCGTGTACCTTGATTCGGTCCCTGGTCACTTTAAATATAGGACGACATGGAAGCATGTCAGGTACATGGTGGAGACAATATGGCTGTCAAGAGGTTGACCGTTGCAACGGAAGTGGTGGAGAACCACCAGGCTCTGTGGAGGATCAACCTGATGACAAACCCCGGTACAATTTCAGAAGTTCCTAAACATGAAGAAATGGCTTCTCGTTTCCTCAGAACCTGAAATATCGTGAGGCTCTATACGAAGTCACGCTGAACTTGTCATCGATGGAGGGCATGCCATTGCTCAACAGCCTGGTGACGCGCACGGGGGCTTATCGCCGAAGGATCAGATTATTCTGCTGCGCCGCAATATCCCATGCCAAAATCTATTTAGTCAGCGTGCAAAAAAGTGACCTCAGCTCGTTACTGTCATCATAACATGCGAACTTCATTGAGCTACGCACGCATCTAAGTTCGCACGACGTCACAATCAAGTTAAACCCAGAGCAGCATGGATAGTCCTGCGCCGGCCTGCACAGGCTCACCCTCCTACAATCTCATCAACCCATCCAACACGTGGAACGAGTGGCCTGAAAACATATCTGGCTTCGTCTGCAAGAGCCCGCCGATTGGCTACTACAGCTCCACCAACTTCGCGAAATGCTGTTCCGGCGAGGTCTACAACATTACCGAGCCTGTGGCGCAGGATCACCCCTTCTATCCAATGTCCTGCGCCGTAGTCTGCCTCGTCGACCCCGAGTTGGATGCGTCGAACGACAAGTACCCCTACTCCTTCTCAGAGCACTTCATGTGTCTTAATGATTTCCCCGAAGGTGAGGACACGTCTGGGTACCGACACGACGGGGAGGTCGTTTGCGCCACAGTTACAGCGGCCGGTGTCCCTGCTCCGACGACCTTTGCTAGCACACCTACCGGGGCGTGGCAAACGAAAGTCTACTCCGATTATGGGTACGGGAGAGACTTTCCGGACTGGAGTTCATCTATCGAAGAGCCTCAATCTTCACCAACGTCCTCGAAAACTGGGACAACCACTCAAATTTTGGACACAACAGCGAGTGCCCGCCTCTCGAGTACAGCGAATGAACCGTCAACGACAGAGAGTGAGGGTGCTGCGCAGCAGCCTACTGAAGCTCCGTCACCAGGGTCTTTGACACGAGTGTCAAAGATAAACATGGCAAGCGTCGTTGGCTGCATGTTCATATTGTCGCGAATGGTGATGTGATGGGTAAAGGAGCGAAGGGGTGAAAGCACCCATAACTAAACATGGTGGCAGAGTGACTGCAGACAAGTAAGAACGATATCGTCGACGATCGCTGGAACCAGCAATAGCTTGTGTAGATAGTTCATCATTCCCAAGGTTGCATGCTATGAACGCTAATAAATGTTGGCAATTTGCGTAAAATCCTAAAGTCCCAAATCATCGCCATAAAAGTCATCGAAGTGTAGGTGATCTACTCCCGCTAGCGGCAAAGATCGATGCGCATCTCAGCCGTCTCTAAAATGCAAGCGCCTCAGCCATGGTTTGCTTCTTCTCGGTAATCTTGGTCTTCCTGCAACAGTCGACTGCCGAACAAAAGTTGGTGTCGGCCTGACTGGCTGTCGCCGACTTGGGCACACGCTGCTGAGCGGGCCAGATTTCTTCGCCAAGAAGCTGCTCCTTCTCAAAGTGTGCTGTCATGACCTCACGAACAGTCCTCTGGAAGAATAGTGGTCCCTTTTCTAGCTCGGGGTGAAGCTCGCCGTTGACAAAGATGCCGGCGTTAAGGTTCTTCTGTGAGTTGAGACAGAGATACTTGTCCTCGGACATGATTCGCTTGTACATGTCGTTGATCACGCCAAAATCCTCGTCGCTCGAATTCTTGTTCCGGAATACTTCATACTTCATGACGGACTTGGTGGGGCCGCTGGGCATGAAGCGTTGGATAAAGAAGAAGTGCGGTCTGAGATCTTGGTTAGCAAGGATTCTAGGCGAATGAAGCGCCGAGCGGATGATAACTTACGAAACATTCATGGATGCGTTGGGCCAGAAGTACGTTGCCGCCACACGAAAGCCCTTCGCGATCTGTTCCTCGGTGGGCTGGCCGAAGTGCTGGATGTGGGAGGCCTTCGTCTGAACGTAGTAGGAGTTGAGATCTGCGATTGACGGGATGTCGGGGTGTGCTTGAGGGCAGTGGTAGCACTCGTTGTAGTTGTCTGCCAGGATCTTCCAGTTGTATTCACCCTCCATCTCCCACGTGTGGTCGTACACGTAGTCTTCGAAATTGTAGTGCTCGAACCTCTGCTGCTCGTCGACTCCTTCAAAGTCTTCACCCCACGGAATCTCGGGTGTCTCGCCCGCATCCAAATTCAGCCAGATGAATCCATTCTTGTCGAGATGCACGTGGATGGGAAACAGGCCATTCTTGGACTTGTCGAACCCCTCGAGGTCCTGGTACCCCGGGGCCTTGGCGAGGTTTCCGCTAAGACCATAGGACCATCCGTGGTACTTGCACGAGAAGATGAAGCTGTTGCCGTGGGTGCTCGTGACCACAGGGAAGGCCCGGTGTCGGCAAACATTGTGGAAAGCGTTGATCTTGCCCTTGCGGTCCTGGACCACAATGAAGGAGTAGCCCGCCACATCGTACTTGACCCAATCTCCAGGGTTGGGAAGTCGAGACTTGTGCGTTGTGAGGAGCCACTTTCTGGAGAAGATTGCACGGCGCTCAAGCTCGTACATATCCTGGGACGTGTACCATGATGCTGGTAGTGCCCTGACGGGGGCTTTGGGGTCTTGGGCGGGAGCAGCACCGGCGAGCCCAAGGTACCTTTTGAGGAGCGACATGGCAACAAAACAGTGTCTGTAATTATAGAGAGTTGCTGTAGTGATATAATGATAATGGAGATAGCGATTTTGGATATGATTACAAGTTGATCATAGTGCTAGTTCTGCTTCCTCCCACACTCCGTATTGAAGGTGGCCGTCCTTCTATATGTCTCTACCTGCTCCCTCATACCTGAGCGCCACGAGCTTCGTATCTCTGACGCCGGCACGAACTCACGTCCGCCGATGTTCTCGGAGTCCCTAAACCGCGATGACTTGTTACGACTCCCCCCTGGCTCACTATCATGGGGTCACTTACACGGGCGGTTTGCCGCTCACGTGACCGGGCCTAGAGATCAGTGTGCCGGCCGGTTTATCGGAGGCTTGTTTCAGCCGCATACTGACCGGACTGATTGAGGTGAGATGCAGCTATGCCTCACACCCTCTCGAACCCCTGATATTCCTTGGTTTTGGCCATCTAGAATCGAATGCGTCACCTGGTGCTGATCCCTTTGCCTGGCGTTTGGAATCCTCCGGACGAGCGCGGACCAAGCATCACGATCTGTGCTTCCATCACAACAGCACAGCATGACTACAGCTCCGGGTCCGTCAGTCGATGCAAGCTATCACGGGTCATGAAGTGAAGTCGGCCCAGCTCTCCCTCATCCGGCCGGTTCACCCGCGCAAGAGAAATGAAGCTTTCGGTGTAAACCTAAGCTCTTGGCAAGAGCTTATCCTGCTGCAGGACCCTGAATCGGGGGTGATCCAACTCTGACAGGGCCTGGACCGGCCGGTCGTTGTGGCAGGCAGGGGGGGGGGGGGGGCGGGACTCTCTAACCCTGGGCAGGGACGCATCGTGACCACGGGCGGTCCCATACTCAACCCCAAAGAGTTTCCGCCGCGCGCCAAGGCCTCCCCCCCAAATGCGGGAAGCGTAATAGAGTTCATGTCCCATGAGACCGGGTGTCACGATGCGTCGGCTTCGCGGATGTTTGACTCCCGTTCGCCGCCTCGAATCTCTCGGCACCATCATGTTACGTACAATCCGCGCTCCCTTCGGTGCAACGTGGCCGCGTCTGGGACTGTGAGCGGTCACAAGGCCGAGCTGCCCGCGTCCTGTGCGTTCCAAGAGTGACGATGCCTTGGCAGCGGCGAGTCAAGCATCAACAATGAGGAGGGTGCGGCGGGGGAGGAGAGGAGGGGGGACGTTGGGGGGTTGAGACGGACCCCGTTGACATGCCATGGTGCTTCGTATCTTCTTCATCCCAAAATATCCATGTCGGGTAAGGCACATGTAGAATGCATAGCCACCCGAGATGCTAGTGTATTTAGCAGCCGATCATCACAACGAAACGAGAGCATGTCACTTCCGAATCGTCATGGTCTAGATTGTCTATCATCATAGCAAGAGCCAAAAAAGAGCCAGATAACGCTTCGAGATGCAAATGGACACTTCAGAGGCCCGGGAGACTGATACACGTGATCGGACATCGGCCGGCCACCCACCCGATGTCGGAACGTAGATGCTTTCGAAAAGGCGGGGGATCGAGGGGCCGAGTTTGCCTCTAGATAAGCCACCATGCCGCTCGTGGCATGGCACGGACGTATTCACAGGCCTAAATTGGACCGACCTCCTCCCACCCCCCCCCCCTCTGCGGTATCACGGCGGTATCAGCAAACTCATCGGGCATCGCAAGTCAGTGAGGGCCCTTTGGCATACATCATTTCGCGTCATTCGCGTTGAGCTTTCCTGCATCTACTCCAGTTCTTTGTTGCCCCTGCATTTTTTCCCCCCTCCCACCCTCTCCCAAGGATCAGCATGGCCGCGAACACGGCGTCCTATCTCATCGTTGGGGCTGGTGTGTTCGGGGTATCGACGGCCTATCATCTCATCCAGAAATACCCCGACGCAACGGTGACCCTGGTCGACAGGGATGCCTATGATGCGGAGGAGCGTGTGGCGGCGTCCTGGGACTGGAACAAGGTCGTGCGCGCCGACTACGACAACTTCACCTACTGCCAACTGGCCCTGGAGGCGCAGGACATTTTCAAGACAGATCCGCTGTGGAAGCCCTTTTTCCACCAGACGGGCGTGTACTGGAACTGCCGCAGCGACTATGCGCAGAACGTCATTGACCACCACCGCAGGCTCGGGCGCAAGGACGACATCATCGCGCTGCCGGTCGCGGAGGCGCGCAAGCTGTACAACGGCATCTTTGAGGACGCCAACTACGACGGCGTCACGGAGGTGCTCGTGAACAGGGCGAGCGGCTGGGCGGCGGCCGGCGATTGCCTGCGGGCGGTGACCCGCAAGGCCATCGAGCTCGGCGTCAGGTACGCTGCTGCCGAGACGGTGGCTCTGCAGCTGGGCCCCGACGGCGTCTGCACGGGCATCGTCACGGCATCGGGACAGGTGCTCAGCGCTGCGCATGTGATCCTGTGCACGGGGGCCTACACGCCCAAGCTGTTGGAGTTGAGCGCTGCGAGGAGCGGTGTGACGAGTCTCCGCGCCGGTGACCGGATCCTGGCCGCTGGTATCACGACAGGCATGGCGCAGCTCGACGAGCGAGACTATAAGACATACGTGGACATGCCCGTCGGTTTTCAGGGGTATACTGCTCAGCATGGTAAGAACGAATGCACCGCGTCAGGAACGATGTGTTCACGCCGCTGACCGTTATCCAAAAAGGCAAGCCATTTGTTGGCAGTCTTCCTCCTACCAAAGACAGGGAGCTCAAGTGGTGGGGACTCAAGATCTTCGCCAACACGCACGAAGTGGTTCCTGGTCGGCACGTGTCGGCACCTCCTGCAGCCAGAGACTATTCCCAGTGGAAAGTCTCGAAGCGGCTGAAGGAAGATGTGGCCGATGCGCGGAACCTGTGGTATGGCGAGAAGAGCAAATCCTGGAACATGACCAAGCACCGGATCTGCTGGTAAGACGTCCCCCCCCCCCTCCCTTACCCAAGGAAACGCCAGGTCGGCGTGCTGAACTTTTGGGCAGGGATGCATTCACTACGAGCTCCGATTTCATCATCTCACCCCACGCTGCAGCCAAGGGCTTGTACGTTGCGACCTGCGGTTCGTTCCATGGGTTTAAGTTCTTCCCCGTGCTTGGCAAGTACATTGTGCAGATGCTCGAGGACTCGCTCTCCCCTGACTTGAAGGAGAGGTGGGCGTGGGACCGGGAACGGCCTGATTCGTCAGACAACTGCGAGTATCCCAATTCGGAGATGAGTGAGCTTGTCGATCCCGTAGCGAGGTTGTAATGAACCTTACTCGCTCTGCATGCATTGCGTTCTCCTGGGAGGGGAGGATGAGGGAGGGGGGGGGGGTAAAGCGTGGGGAGCAGATGTGCTTTCAAATCATGACAGCAGCGACATGGCATTTGCCCTGGAATGGTGCCTTTGTCTTTGTCTTCTATGGGCCAGGTACGTACCTATGATAGAGGAGAAATACGGAACGGGCAAGCATTTGAAAGGAGCAACTTATACGGTTTAGGTCCATGTCCTTCGTTTCTCTGAGTTCTCTGAGAAAGGAGGGGGACGGGCACGTGACGTAACTCGGGCGTAAGTCTATAGATACCTCCCTAGGTACCTAGGCACCTATCTAGGCACCTAGGCACGTACCTAGGCACCTAGAAGGTAGGTAGTACTGCGTGGCCAATGAACCCCGCGGTATTAGCGAACAGCACCACAGCTGTCTTATCGGTACCAACTGCAGCAGGCACTACAGGCACTGCAGGCATCGTAGGGGAGGCACTGCGGGCATTGCGGGGTCGTGGCGGGAGCGTTACTGCCTTGGGCCCAGCGTAACCTCGCTGGGGCAAGGTCGGCGTCGGTACCGACCCTTTCGTCCTAGTCTTACTTAACAAGGACATGTCCTTCCCCCTCCATCTCTCGGCATCCCCCCCCAGCGTTCAACCAAGACCTTCACCTTGGGAGGGATCCTTCGTCATGTCGCCCGAGAGAGGCACCGCGCCTGCTGCTGCTCCTCGAGGTAAACGGCGGTCCTATCATGCCTGTCTCAATTGCCGGTCAGTGGTCTCTGATTCCACCTGTTCGCCGTCGCGGTGCCGAGCTGACTGCCCCCTCCGCAGGCGCAAGAAGACCCGGTGTCCGGGCGAGAAGCCGTCATGCTCGAGTTGCGTTCGCCTGAGCCAGGCCTGCTCTTATCCCCCTAACAAGCCATCGCCCGGTGGACGCTCGGTACTGATCTCACGCTGCTTCAACTTCTTGTGGTGACACCCGGCTGACAGCTGCACAGGATGAGAGGCTGCAGAGCCTCGAAGAGAAGCTGGATCTTCTCCTCAGCGGAGGAGCCCTGTACTGACCACCAACCCAAAAGCCAACGCGTTTGAAGCGGTCTGACCCGGCTCACAGGGCGAAGCATCCGAGGTACCAGGGCCAACAACAAGCAAACGAGGACGGAAGCACGTCGCCGCCCGAGGAGTCCTTCTCCGTCTCGCCGCCGCCGCGAGACGCCGCCAACTTCCCGACGACGAATCCATTTCCCACCATGTTCGACCCGGACCTGGCCAACCTGCGGCCAGGGCGGTCCGACATGGCCAACGGCATCAACCTCTATTTCAAGTTCTGTCACAGGCAGCCCATCTGGTGTTTTGAGCGTGACGAGGTTTCGGATTATGGCTCTCTGCCGGAGGAGCTCGCCTGCAGCATCCTGGCTGTGACGTCGCGCTTCTCTCAGAAATGCGACCATCTCCACCTCTACGGCAACAACGCAAAGACGCTGATCATGCTGCGCATCGCCAATGGGTCTGTCGATTTGACGACCATCGAAAGCCTCTGTCTTTTGTCCTATGCTGCATTTATAGGTATTTTTCTCTGCCCTCCCCCTTTTTGACTGACCTCTCCTTGACGGGCGACCACTGACAACGACCAGACGGGAACGTTCATCTTGGGCAGTTTCACCTGGGTCTTGCATTCCAACTTTGTAGATCTGCCATGCTGGATACGGAGTCGGTGTACCTGGTTCGAGACGCCATTACGGAGCGAAAGAAGCGGTTGTTTTGGAGCCTTCAGCTTCTTGAACAGTCCTACGGCCGACAAGATGGCCTTTTGAGCGTCCCGACGGATATTTGGCAGCCGGCGTTTCACTCGACGGGCGAGAAGCAAAAAGAACCGAAGTCGAAGGTTCCGCCATTACCAAAAGACGAACTCGGAACCACGAGGCCCAGCGAGCCGGGCATCTGGAACACCAGCGTCCACCTAGGCTGGGTCTGGAGCCAGGTCAGAAAATACGTGTCCGACTGCTCCCACAACATTCTGCAGGAGCCCTGGCGACACGATTCGACCTATGCCAAGGTTCTGTCCGACTTTATGGAGACGGAGAACAGGATCCCCATGTGTCATCGATACGACTCGGTCAAGTTTTATGAGCGCAAGGTCGAGGAGCTCAAGATGAACCGCGACTATTGGGCGCCGTGGCTGAAGGAACAGTTCACGTACCACGTCATTCCCACGGTCCTCAACCATCCCTTTCTCTACATCATTGGAGCGCAGCACAACCCCAACCTAGGCATCCCCAACACCTTTTGGAGACGTTCATCCGAGCAAGCCTTGCTTCACGCCACGTGGATTGTCCGGATGATCGACATGGTAGTCGATAAACAAGTCGCTCTGGTCGACCCGTTCTTCGGGCATGCCGCCGCCATTGCGGCAACAGTGCATCTTTATTACTGCTGCGCGGCGGCGGCCAGGTTGAAGCACAAGTCGAACACAGACTTTGCCAAGTGCAGGAGATTTCTGAAGAGCTTCATCCCTTGTTCCGCTGCCTGCGGCGCCCTCGTACGTTGACGTGGCTCCCGCATCTTCCTCGGTACTGCAACTGACACGACCCAGGACCGTGACCTTGATAGAATGACACGCATCGCAGCTGGGTCGGAAACAATGGATGTCGAAGACTGGATGCCATCGAGAATTTATCTCAGCGTGCCGTTGATGTGGAGAATTCTACAGTTCAACTCGACGACCGACGCCCAAGGCATCTCGACTTCTGGCCTCCTGGCCGATTCGCTCACAACCGCCCTGCGGCAGGATGAAGACGATGAGAACTCTACACTTGAGATCGTGGTGGCAACATCGCCCGAGATATCCATCAACACGGCCGACGGTGGGCAAGACTCTCCGACCTTGTCATTCAAGGCACCGGTCAATCCCGGCCTGCATCCTCCACAGGTGGCGCCCTATGATCCGCCAACCGTGGAGCAGATTGACAGTCTGACTTTCAACACCACGCCGTGGCTGTACGCGGACTCTTCCCAGCTTTTCAGCATTGGAGACATTGGCTACAACCAATCCGAGCCAGGAAATGCGTGGTGGGAGGACGAAAACTTTGACAATATCATGTTCAATCACTTTTAGCGACGGCGTTGGTTTATTTCGGTTTGGCTTTGAGATGGCGTTGGGATATAGGGAGCCCCAAACTGTTAATTGTGTGTACCATCAATTTCATCATCGTAAAGACTATGCTATGAAAACAAGACGTCTCGCCTCCAAGTTGATCCACCAGACGTCGTACCGCAAGGTTTGTATAGCGCCGGCAGTCGACAGGCTATGTCCCAACCGAGCTGGTTGTTCCATTTCGAGACAGTAGTGGCGTGTTGGAACACGTCCACTATCGACTTGTTCTCTCATTGGAAGAAGTTATAACTTCTCAAAGCCCCATCACTGTACGACTCCGATGCTATACTCATTCCTTCCTGAGCAGGCTACATAGTCTCGCCAGATATGGTGAGCAGCCATGATGCCTCTGCGCATCACATTCATCAACCGTGCCTCTCCACCCGAGTTCCCCCCCCTCGTGACCCTCAGCCATGTCATGCCTGCCGACTCATACTATCGTGGCCCCAACATGTGCCGGCCGCCGACACCGGGCGCGGCGGCCATGGCTGACGCATGCAATCAGGTGCGTGAGAAGGACGCCATCGTGATGCACCACGTCGGCGTCTCGCCGCGCCCGATAGGAGAGCCCCACCACGACACACCTCGTCGTTACCGATCCCAGCTGATCCTGATAAGGTCTCGACCGCGAGCGCGGGGTACATGGCCAGGGGAGGGGGCTTGCCTGCACCACGAGGACACAGCCGTCCCGTTCTTTTTTTAAAGGGAGGGGGAAAAAGGGGGGGGGGGGGGAGGTAAAGCGGCCCCCGACTCCCCCCCCAAGATCCCGAGATTGATGCCCAAATGGAAAGAGGATAGTGTCAGAGCGGCGTTGGCGGCGGCGAAAGGGGGGAGGGGGCGAGGACCACGTCTCCCTGCACCAGCAAGTGAGGCGTAGCTTTGACCGAATCTGGGATACCTGAAGGGGAGCGTGGTGCTAGAGAAGACAACCCCCAAAACGTCTCGTTTGTTGTGTGCTTGTTTTGACTTGAGAGGCGGGGAGGGAGGGAAACGGGCGTCGCGGCGCGGGCGAGGCGGCGTGTGAAGCCGATCACATGACCGGAGTCGATGCGATACGAAACGACCTGCCTTTCGACGGCACGCTGCGCCCGAGCGAAACGTTTGCCCCTACCACCACCCCGTGGCCTGGCAATCAGCAACGCGGAGGGGGGCGGCTCTGCTGTCTAGTGCGGTACGCGGATGAAGTCACTGGTCGGAGCGGGTAGAGTTTGATGGCGGGGTTCTCGATGGGATTTGATGATGCTCGGACGACTTATAAGTCAAATCCTCATACGTTGAGGAGAGGATGAGAATGATTCTGCTGCCCCCCTTTTCTCTGATGAACCAACAGCCTACCCATCTCTTTCTCAAACCGTAGACACCTGATCCCCTTTTTGCGATTCTCCCGTTCACGCATTGGACCGCGGCTGACCGGACCATGGCCACCCCGCGCGTCGTCATCATCGGCGCTGGCATCGTCGGCACCAACATTGCCGACGAGCTGGTCGCGCGCGGATGGACCAACATCACCGTCGTCGAGCAGGGCCCGCTGCAGATGCCGGGAGGCTCGACATCGCACGCGCCGGGGCTCGTGTTCCAGACGAACCCGTCCAAGACGTTGACCTCGTTCGCCAGCTACACCGTCGAGAAGCTGCTCTCGATCGGCTGCTTCCACCAGGTCGGCGGCCTGGAGGTGGCCGAGACGCCGGAGAGGCTCGAGGACCTCAAGCGGAAATATGGCTACGCGTCGTCCTGGGGCATCGAGTCGAGCCTCATCAGCGCCGAGGCCTGCCGCAGGCTGTACCCGCTGCTGAGCGACGATGTCGTCCTCGGCGGTCTGCACATCCCCTCCGACGGGCTGGCTCTGGCCGCCAAGGCTGTGCAGGTTCTCGTCGAGCGCACGCGCAAGGCGGGTGTCACGTACCTGGACATGACGCCGGTGACGGGGTTCGAACGAAACGACGGCCGCGTCACGGGCGTCATCACGAAGAGCGGCGGCACCATTCCGGCCGACATTGTCATCTCGTGCGCCGGCCTCTGGGGCGTCGAAGTCGGCGCCATGGTCGGCCTGCCCATTCCGTTGCAGCCAGTGGCACACCAGTACGCCAAGACGACGCCCGTGCCAGCGCTCCAGGCGAAGAACCCGGCGCCGAACAGCGCGAGCCTGCCCATCCTGCG